CTGTTTCCTGATACGCCTTCTCTCACTACAAAGTGTTACAAATTCACTATCTCTTTATTTTGCAGCATAAGCTTTTTTAAGAACCATTTTGTGAGAAATGGGTTCTACATTATGCAAGGGTATATAGCTATTCCCTTTTCCTGAGGAGTAGAGGATGACAAATTGGAAGAACAGGCTTGAAGAGACCAGGGAAGAGAGTGCACCAGTCTTATTAGGGTCAAAGGTCATCCCACAGGAGACGAGCTTCATACCCTCTCCTTCTCCTCTGTCCTTTGTCCTAGTCACCAGGAATGAGAGGAGATGAGGAGAAAAGGGAAGGAATAAAGGAATGCAAGCGGATGATGTAAGGGAGGATGGTGTGATGGATGGTAGGGCTCCTTGCTCTCAGTATGTGTGTGTGTGTGCGCACGTAGTTCGTGCACACTCAAGTTTGTGCGTACGTCTCTCCGCTGTTGGCCGGTGTGTGCCGTGGAGAGTGTGATGCATTGATGAACGAGGAGCATCCTTTGCCGTTTCAGCAGTGGAAGAGCTTAAAGCATCCGGGCCCCAGGGACGGGCCATGTCACAGTCTTCCATCCTAGTGACTTATGGACCTGCCATGACAAACACCTAAATGCTGCTGTTGTGGGGTCGTGCGTACGTGTGTGGGGGTGGGGAGGTGGGGGTGGGGGTGGGGGAGGCTGTTGGGATGTAATAGTCCACGTGATGACAGAAACCAGACTCCCTGGAAGGATCGCACTCCTGTGTTTTAGAAACCGAAACCACTAAGTGCTACTAAGTTTCCAAATGAACACTGTAAAGCTTGTAGAATAATTTGCGAAATAATTCTGATGTATGAAAGCCTGCACAGGGGAGGAAATTAATGGAGAATAATGTGAAGTCATCTCGCAAATATTTAAAATTGTTTTCTCATCATTTCTCTCAAGCTCAGGTGTGTGTGTGTGTGTGTGTGTTTTTGTCTTTCTCCCTCTGCATCTCCCTTTTTCATTCTCTCCCTCTTTCTGTTTAGGATTTAGCCTGCAGGAATAAATGGAATAGGTTGTGATAAATCAGTTTAAAGCACACGGTGCAAAAAAAGGCTGGTTGTTTTTTATACAGTGCTGCCTTGGTTTCCTGATTTTGGCTCCATAGCTACTCAGTAAGGTTCTTTTGCTTTATTATACGTAAGAAGAGACATTACCTTTGCATGAATTGTATTTTTGTCTGCTATGAAATTCTACCTCTTATCAAATATGCTTTGGAGGGGAACAAAGTGGGGGAAAAAAAACATTATTTTCAGGTGTTTCATGCATGATAAATGTTGCTGTCTTGATGCTCTATATCAAATACTGTCAATGTTTTGTTTTTTTTTCTTGGCAACAGATAAATTCACACTGTGAGAATAAAGAGAGTATTGATGATTCTCAGTCAGGTAAAAGAAAAAAAAGTATTTGCCACTTCAGTGCTCAAGGCATAGCCCTGTTCTGGGGATTGCACCAGTAATGGCACTATTAGACTTAATTTACTGCCCAAACTAATAACCTGAAATGGAGAGTGTGATGAGAATATCACATACATGCACGCACGCACACACAGACACACACACACACGCACACACAGTGAAATACGAAGTACATGCATGCACATTGACACTCAGTGCTGTGCCCTCAATCAGCTCCAATGCAATAAAATCAGTCATCTGTTTCTCACACACACACTTTTCCTTGTCATTCTCACAGCCTTGCTTACACCACCTCTTTCTCACTCGTCTGCCATCTTCTTCATTTCTTGTTTTTTTCTTTTATTGTTTGTTTTTTTTTTTCTTCTAACCAAAAATAGACCTTCTCACAGCGGACATTTTGACTTGTGGGAAAAGCACAGGTGTAACTAATAACATTAATGATGGCTCGGTTCCATATAGGCATGCCAGTAATCCATGCCAGTGAGCCAGCATGTACAATATCAGGGCCCTGGCACCGGCACATCTCAATGGAATGCAGCCAGTGTTAATGTTGTTAGTTACATGTGTGTTTGACAAGTTAAAATGTCTGGCTGTGAGGAAGTGCTCCACATCTATACCTCACAAATATTACTTGGACTCAAACTTTTCTGACCCCAGAGTTACATTCATCTAGCCTTGCATGGTCTCAACTGCAGGGGTGAAGCTTTTACCTGGATGCCACCAGGGCCCCGTGTGGCCACGCTGCAGCACTGAAGCCTAAGTCCCGCTGGCTGCTATGCTGATCAGTCCTTGTGTATATGCTAATCTGGTAGTGATGGAAGGGAAGCTGTAATAAGGTGGCCTTGGCTGGTCAAAATGAAGGCTGTGGCACAGTGGAGCCTAAAAGTGACAAGTCAGTTTGTCATCGGATTAGGCCAGAAGGAGAGAACCCAAGTACTAACCAGCTACTTTAAAGGGTAAATCAGCAGTGAGTCATTTAGGGCAGAATCCTTGATGTCTGAGCAGGTGTTCTGCCTTCAGCAGATGATGGAAAACACCTGCTGTGAAATCACTGATTGGGTTGTAGCTAGAAGTGCAACATGCAGCTGCAGTCTTCTGCCCTGTGAAAGTGAGACATTGCTGATTTTCCCCTTTTAGAACCTCTTTAAAAAAGTAGGGAAGTATTGTGGGTGACAGCGAGGATTTGGCTGATATGTTTTGCTGTTGGCCAGCAATGCTGATACTGACTGTTTGAACTGAAGCGACTTGGGCTCGTATATTTTTAGTCTGGCTGGCTGTTGGTTAAAAATCCCTTTGAAACATGCACGGTTGAGATTATGTTAGCCACTGAGAACAGTTCTGACAATCAGAAATTAATTTAAAAGAAAAAAATTAATTAATAAATGATTTTTTGATGATAATTTAATAAAGGTCCATTACCTACACACACAAACACACATTTTAATATTTCATTTACGTTCTCTTTTTTCATTAACTAGCCAAATATAAACACTCTGCAAAGCAAACCGTTTTATTATTATATCATTTTATATTCTGTCAGTCAAGGGTGCTGTCTCCAATATGGGCATTGGCATTATGTATTGGTGAGACAGGAGTACATTGCCTTTGTTTTGATCTCCGTCATCTGCAGACCTCTTACCGCCCCTATCGATGGGCACAGACTGCCAAATAAAAGCCTACTCTGTCTCACAGCTTCACGGCTAAGGTTACCTTTGTGAGGAGTACACACACACACACACACACACACACACACACACGTTCGAAATCAAGCTCTTAGAGGTCATGTTTGTTTTCTGACTGGACACAAACTGTTTGCAGTCTATTTATTTACCAGCCAGTTAATTCCACAGCTCAAGCTCGGGAATGCTCTGTTGGATAAAATGACTGATCCGTCCGTCCGACCTTGCTGTAAGGAGGCTTTAGCTTACTGGGCTAGAAAGAGCAAAAGATGAAAACAAACAATATAATTTGTTTTGGTTTTTTTAGGCTTTAAATTAACTCTTCACACTAGTGACTTTGTGTGAGTCATGAAAACTAAAAGCTAAAAAAGCATTATATTTTCTTAGGAAAAACATGTCATTTAGTCTTGTGCTTATTACTTATTCTTATTTAACCTTTTTTATCTTAATATAAATGAAAAATATTTTCCAAACTGATAGGGCTTGTTCATGTTGAGAACAAACATTTTGCTGTCCAGCCAAAAAATAAGCAGGTTTCCTTTGAAATATTATAATCTCCTGTAATACATTATGAAACTGGAGACATTGGATAGTGTAGAAGTATACATCGAGTGTGATGGTGAGGTGCCAGTGAGCTGTGTCGCTGTATAGGAGCCATTCTGTCCTCTCTGGAGTTCAGTCCAGTTCCTGTGGAGAGACTGAGTTTCATCCAAAGTCCAGCACATGGTCTGGCCAGCTCCCTCACCGTGTGGGAGTGTGTGACTGGGTGACTGGGACTGTAAGCTGGATGACAGGGTGCACGTCTGTGTGTGTTTGTGTGTGCGTGTACGTACGTGTGTGTGTGTGTGTGTGCGTGCATGAAATGCATGTTTTCTCATGGCAGTTTCCTTCATACTCTGAGGATTTATTGTTTGAGATGCAGCAGGAACAAAACCAACACACACCTATATAGGATTGTAGCCAGTGTTCTGCAGGGTTGGCCATACTACTGCATGTCATCAATGAAAACACAAGCTGCAGTCACTGGAATATAACATCTGAAGCAAGAGGTTCAGGAACGGGAGACTGGCTGAACTTCCTTTGAACTTGATTTGCATAATAACACACAATTAGACAAGGCTCTGTCAATACTGAGCACACTTATTAGCATGCAAGTGCATGGTTCGATAAGCAGTGATGGTCAACATGGCATCCATAAGTGAATGAGTGAATGCAGGGTTTTTTTTCTGAAGCACTTTAGGAAAGTAAAATAGAAGTCTATTTCAGTAAATATACAGTGTATACAGTAAAAGTGTATTTCTGAAGTAAGTCATTGCTTGGGTCCGAAATGTTGTTGTGAGCAGATGGCTGTGTGTGTGTGTGTGTGTGTGTGTGTGTGTGTGTGTGTGTGTGTGTGTGTGTGTGTGTGTGTGTGTGTGTGTGTGTGTGTGAGAGAGTGTGTGAGTGTGAGTGATTATGTATCACCAGACTCTTTCTGGCTCTTATCAGGACTAACATGACGCAGCGCCACAGACTAAACCACAAACTGCATCATTAACGGTCCTCTCCTTTCTCTTCTCTCTCTCTCTCTCTCGCTCCAGCTCTACCCAGCTACACTTGTGGCAATCCTGGACAGCTACTCAATGGCCACCAGCAGGGGTCCACGTTCAACATCGGGGACAAAATCCGCTACAGCTGCAGCCCAGGCTACGTGCTGGAGGGTCACACCACCCTATCCTGCCTTGCCACTTCAGCGGGTACTGCTGCCTGGGATTTCCCCCTGCCCTACTGCAGAGGTATGTAGGAGGGACAGTGGACAGCTGTCTATCATAACAGGTCTTTAGGCTTAATCTTGAAGTACTTCCACAAAGTATACATTTTAATTGCATCTAATTTAAATGGCTTTGAATGAAAGTTTTATGACCCCCACAGCCAACAGCTAGCTCGGACATTCAGATTTAGTTTGATAAATATTCGAAAAACTTCATTGAGAATTTATTTTACCATCAACTGTAAAGGTGGATGATAAAATCACAAGTCTGGGTAATACAAACCGACAGCAGTATGGTTGGTACAAGTGTCTGAAAGTATGCATAAAAGTCTCTCCATCATTTAAATGTGTTCACGTTATTTTATCCACAAAAAAGCTAAGAAAACCATAAAAATCTTTAATGTAGATGACAACATTGAACTTGCTTTTGAAATGAAGACCAATCAACCTTTTATTCACCAGTTGATAAACCCCATCCTCCAGCCCACACACACTCACCTATATTTACACAGGCCTTCATATGACCTGAAAAGCTTTTCTGTGGTTATACTGATTTCTTATTTACCATGACAGGACCTCATGTGTTCTCTCTCAGTCAGGTGCTTGTGCCAGTTGTCCTTCCCTCACTGTTAGCAAGCACCCCTGCGGCAGCGACACCTGCCAGTGTGTGTTGTCTGACCCAACATGACACAGTTCTTGAAAATAGTTCACTGTCGGCAAAGCTGATGCCATTGTATATAATTTTACAGGATTTCACTTTAAATAAAAGTAAACTCTTACATCACTGAAACACATGCACATGCCATACACGTGTGAGTTTGCATGTCTGTGTGTGTCACTTTGCTGTCTTGTGTGTGTGTGTGTGTGTGTGTGTGTGTGTGTGTGTGTTTGTGCGCGTGCGTGTGTCCGTCCGTGTGGCCAATGGTTTGTGTCAGTGTGCCTGCTGAGCAGAGCGCTGAGACACTGTGCCATCTGCAACCAGGCTGGGAGTCAGGAAGCCCACATAGGAGCACACATGGCTGGGCACCACGCGCCAGCACATTCCCCACCCACCCACCCAATCACATGCTGACACATGCACATGCCTGCACTCTGCATCTAAATGTATTAAAAGTATTGTGCGTGCAATTTGTAATCTTTTCTTCGAAATTTCTCACATTTCATGTCACAAACATTCACGAAATCTGTCATCTCCCTTTTTTTTTTCTCCATAATCCACCAACAATTTGCTGTTCAGACCCAAACTCAGCTCTTTTTGCCTCCTCTTTGCCAACCTTTGCACCTTCGTGGAAGAAAAGAAAATTGCTCCAGCACTCGTGGATGTGATTATGCCACCTTTCCAGCAGAAATTACATGCTAACTGACAGTTTTCCCTGTGATAAATTGAAGTCTCCCTGTGCCACATAAAAGTCAACGTTAACACCTGAGTGCTGCTTCATAATGCATAAGTGTATTGTTAATGTCACTCCAATTACAGAGCCTGCCCATATGTGAAAGAGCAGAAGTCACGCTGTACTTTGGGAGCGGGGGGAGAACATTTTGGCACAGTCACCATTCTGGACTCAGGAGAGGGCAAGCGTGCCAGCACTGTCAAGCCATAGATAATAAGTAACCATTGATACTGATGGCATGGATAATCTTTTACATTTCCTGTCTAATCCTCATCAATTTGTTCTCTTACCCCATAATCTCAAAAACTACATCACATGTCATATGAGCACACTTAGAGATTTTACATCTCTTTTTCTGCCATACCGTCACTCTTTGCTCTGCAGAGAGAGAAAACAGTGATTTTGGCTGCTGCATATCTTTCTAGAAAAAGGCTTATTGCTGACAAGTTCTAAATGTCACTGCATATACCTACAGCATCGCGCACACACACATACACACACTGCTATTTATCTTTTGTGTGTGCACATGCTTTATTCCACCCATTACAATGGCAGGATTTTTAATGGTATTGTGTCAAATTTACTTGTCCCATTTAAAATTCCAAATATAGTTTTTTAGCTTTTGCTGTCTGCATGTTTGGTGTATATATAATAATATATACATATTTAATATATCCATTTTCTATGGATATTAGCTGTTAATGTTTTTATAGCTTGCAAGCATTGCCCATTATTCCTCATATCTTGGTTACCAGGAATCGAAGCGGCTCTTTACACTTTATGAGAAACCATGACATCCTAAGTGACAGGCTGAAAATATGTACTGTTCAACCGTGGGAAGCATCCTGACATCTACAATTGACTGAAGGAAAAATGTTTCTGCACATCTCACATATTGAGGAGGTCAACAGTTTTTTGGATTCATATTTTCCATGGTATAACCATTTTTTAGTTTTCCATTGTGGTCGAGCGCTTGCATTGGCCAGCAGCCGCCGCAAAATGTAGAGAGCGAAGGAGAGAGTGAAGGTGAAGGGGAGTTAGGAGAGAGTCAGATACTTCCCTTCAAGTGTGAAGAAACTGTCTTGTGTGGAATATCAATGCACTTCCTCATCTTTTCTTCTGTCTCCCTTCTACTTCCTGTCACTCCCACTGCAACAATCACCTGTCACCCCTCTCGCCATCTCTCTCTTTCTTCATTGTCCACCCTCCCTCTGCACTTTTCTCTCGCCCATCCTCGCTTGTCACCTGTCATCCTCTTCATCCCTTTCTTCTCGCTCTTCTGTCGTGGTTTCCCTCCTATTCAAGTTCACACCTCACAGGTTTCCGCTCGTCCGTACACTCCCTTGCCCTCCCTCTGGGGGGTTGCCGTGGTGACAGGTAGGATGGATGATAGACAGGGCCTGGCACCTCTGAGTTCCTCCTCCCCTCTTTGAAACACCCCACACCACACAGCTAGCTGGCCGCCCACTAATGAATCCCACACACACACACACACACACACACACACAAATTCAAAAGCAATAATAGTGTGGAACTATCATTCAAAACTTTTGATGTGTTAATTACAGCACATACTGTAGTTATCAAGTCTCTATTTTCTCAAATTACACACAGGACTTGCAGTCCAGATATCACGTAACAGTGTATTGTAGAAAGCTTTAATGAACATATCAGAAACTGGGCAGGAGAATTATCTTGGCAAGACATTAAATACATACTTTATTATTTAATGGTCTCCTTAAAGCAATCTTGAGGAGGGAAGAGTTGCTTTGATTAACACAAATCTGAATTAATCAGAATTTAATCACTTCCCCACACGTTGCATTAGGTTGCATCACACATCCTACACTGCTCCCCGCTGACTGTAAAACCACTGTGGGGCATTTTGAAATCCTATGACTGCCGTCTCTCTGGCCTATGGCAAAAATTTCAGACAAAGGAACAATATGCTGTAACTCGCTGCACATCGTCATGCCCCTGAATTTGCGCTTTGGCTCATGGCAGGAAGATCATTTGTGGCCAGGAAAAAAACAACCAAGTAAATAATAAATAGATTTTAGGGAAAGGCTAAAAGGCACACACAAAACTTCACCCCACAAAGTTTCCACTATGTAAAGCTTATGTGACACAGTTTGGAAGACTTTTCCTTGTTGAATCATTATGTCTGTGTCTTCATTGTTGTCAATCATGAAAATCTCTGTCCTCACAGTATTTTCTCACAGGGGCTTAGCAGGTTTATAATGTAGCTTAAGCGTCTGCCCATTTAAGTTTACACATTTAAATAATGGTTTTAAGTGGAAGTTGTTTAAAATTACATAGTGTCATGACATACTATGTTTGCGTTTTTACAACATTGGAAGGTCGAGTTCAATCTTGTGTGCACAGAGTAAGCGTGTCACTTTAAGATTGCATTGTATTATGGTTCTTTTGCAGCACTCTCCTCTCTAAAGGTGTGTACTGTGTATTGCAGTTAGCCGGTCTCAAAAGCTATGCACTCCATGCACTCAGTTTAAATGGAGTTTCCTGCTGGCTTGTGTTATGTCTTTCTTGCTTGATATATATTCCTAACACGTGGAAAGCACCTCCTGGTATCTTTATCACAGAAATGGATCAGACAACAGCCAAGGACAAGTGTAAGAATCAGTCCAAAAGACAGACAGTGAAAAACTTTGTGTAGTCCTAAAACTGACAGCTCCTTAGAGCCTGACAGGCGAGTGTATGAGTGCAAGAACAGTCTTCAAAAAGTTTTCTCCAGAGCAGCTGTTGCAGAAGGAGTGTTCGCATAATCAATGCTGTCTTGTGCCAATATGGTGCATAGTTTGAAAAAGCTTACAATGGCCACTCAGATTTTACTACTTCATGGGTCAAACTTGACCCTTACCTGCATTGAAGCTGCAGTTTCTGTTTATTAGCCTTTTTACTACCTTCGCTCTCATGCTGTTTTTATTTGTCTGTACATCTTCATTTATCTCCACCACAGGTTCTATTATTGCATTTGTCTATATTTCCCTCTTTTATTAAGCCATTTTCTCATCTGTATTCCCTGCAGCTGACGATGGGTGTGGCGGCACACTGAGAGGCCAGAGTGGGGTGATCACCACTCCCAATTACCCTACTGAGTACAACAACAATGCTGACTGCACCTGGACTGTGCTGGCCGAGCCAGGAGACACCATTGCCCTTGTTTTCTCTGACTTTCAGCTGGAGGACGACTATGACCTTCTGGAGGTCAGCGGCACTGAGGGTTCTTCACAGTGGTGAGTAGTCAGCCTGCAGCATTTTGCCTGGGGAGTGAGCTGAGCTGGGGACAGCAAAGGAAGGGGAGTCCACTGGTTGCTCCACATGCCCACAGGCACTTTTTCAGTTGAAGGAATGAGCTAGTTGAAGTATGGTTGAAAGTGGATGGGTGTTGGGTAGGTCCATTGCAACTTAGGGTGACAGGGTCAGGATCATAGCTGAGATGCAGAGGGACAAGAACCAATTGAATATAGATGCAACTGGTAGTATCTCTTAAAATGAAAATCAAGTATTTGATATGCAGTTCAGAGCCTTTTCCCCATTAGGGTGTATCATGTTGTCTGTGGTTTTAAGGTTTAATGGGAACACTCAATCGTGGTCATTCACTCGTTCTCTTACTCAGCCTCACACAAACACACATGCTCAGCTCTAATGATGAAGAGGTAGGATATCCTGGCGTCAGTGTGGGTCTCTCACCATCTGTGGCAGCTCCTCCTCTCACTGACAACTCTCTCAGCTCAGGAAGTAATTAGTGAGCTCGATTACCACCGCCAGCCGTATAGTGTCGTTTTACCCACACTCACATGTACTCACACATATACACCCAAACACACACACACACACACACACACACACACACACACACACACATACAGTAAAGCCCATATGGGCAGAAATGGACATGTGCACATAAGTATTCACACTATCAGCCACACTCCCATATATTTGTGCTGGCACTCTTAAGAACTTGCACAAACAGATGTACTCTTTCACACTCCCTCTGCCACAGTGACACCACACATCTTAACACACAAGGCTAATATCAGCATGAAAAATATACATGGGTTTTAATACAAATAGATGGATGCACCTGTTATGCACCAGGAAAGAATCCAGCTTACTCTCTTTGTCTCGGATGAAATGTAAAGATGCAGGTTTAGTTTCAGGATCATGTGGGAGATTGGCAGCTCGGATAAACAAGAGAAGACAGAGGAGACTTTGAAGTTGCAGCCACAGGCGGTTGGCTCGAAGGGACAAGGGGTAGCACTGGCTGAGCTATTAAACACTTGAAATACACAGAGATACAGAGGGAAAGACAGAGGGATAGAGGACTGTTGATACAGCAGACAGGTTCAGAAAGAATATGTGAGGAGTCATCTTAGAATGAGATGGCCCCTAGAAACTTGTGTCACTTTCACTCATTCACTCAGTAATTAAGCAATAACACTTCCCATGAAGAACTTGATTGACTGTGAGTGGTCTTAAAACTGAGAACTGTGCCTTGTAGTCTGATATTAAAGTCTCTTTGAATCTCTGCTTTCGCCAACTGAGAGTTCATCGCTTCCCAGAATCCCACAGACAGCAGCCTGACTATGCTTCTTATGCACATTTTACGATGTCATCATCTCCTTGTCCCAGGCTTTGATTTGCTCTTTTTTGTCGTGTGGGGTGCCCAAATCTCTACTGAGTCTGTCATCTTTGTGGTGATTGTTGCCGGGGGCGCCTATGGTGGTGCACCTGCGGCATGGCGGCACTGTCTTAAAGAGCAAGGGAAAAGAAAGTGACTAGAAAGAAAGGAGAAGGGCTATTGGCAAGCAATGCAGAGTGCAAGTCACAGTTGATCATGCACATTGCAAGGAAAAGGCAGCACAGGGGACAGAGGACAAGGCGCAGACATGCTGGCTTGCCTCTATTGTTTCTTTTTTTTTTTTTTCTAGTCATGCTGGCTTAGGTTTTACCCACCGAGCGTCGACTTCAAAAGTGTTCGCTGACTTGTCCCAAAACATAAAAACTCACCAGCCTATTTTCACCACAATAACTTTATCTCTAAGGTGTCTAAGGAGCTGCTGATCTATAATTTTAGAGTGAGCAGGGAGCAGTAGGTGGGACAAACGGAGGGTGACAGGGTCAAACAGTGAGAATGAGCAGACACCACAGGAGAGAAGCGAAGAGGAGGGCAGGACCTTTGGAGGCGACGATGGACGTGGAAGTAGAGAACTAGATGGATGGGTGGAGGGATTACGACTTTCCAGCTGGTGGCTAATTAGAGAGGTCAGGTGGAGCGCTATGATGGTGCTGACCTCAAGCACACATCCTCTCAGTGAAAGGCTCAGTGGGCCCTCTGCTCTGTGGGGCTAGCACTCTCTCCTTCTCTCACCATATAATTGGACTGGTCTGCGATTTGATCACACTGGTTTATGCAGGGGTACGTTACAGTTCAGGTTAAAGTGCGTCTCCATTTCAGGTGTGCTATTAGCTGTGAATTTTGGTTTATAACTCAACTTAGGATCAAGGCATTTTCTCATTAAGCTGATTGGACAATGAAGTATAATACATTGCTTCCTATCAGAAAAGGTATATACCTGGCTTGATTCTTATCTTCTATCATTTCTTATCTGTAAGTTGGAAGACAGAAACTGATTATATCCTTGTGGTCTGACCAAACAGCAAGGATGAAAGTGTTTGAGTGCTTTTATGATTTCACAGTTATTGAGTGTGTATAGAGTTGGCATCCCACCATCTGATGACTGGTTACTTAATTCAATCTGTAGTCGAGTTCTAGAACTAGTATTGATTGATACCTGACAGACAGGTCAAAACCATGCTTCCCTGATCGTACAGCTCAGACCAAAGCAGATCACGTTTGCCTTCTCTGTCCTCTTGTTGTGTGTGTGTGTGTGTGTGTGTGTGTGTGTGTGCGCGTGCCTGGGTCTGTACTTTTGAGTAGAAGAAAATGAACCACAATCAACCATCAATCACCATCAAGAACATCACCCCTTTGAATGTGTGAATCCGATCTTGCTCACTTGCACTCTTGTTTACAATAGCATCCAGTGATTTGATTGGCGGCACTGCAGAGTTAGCATTCTGAAAAGGCAGCAGGAAAAGACGGTCTTGAAGACTTGACTCCAGGAGCTGAAATGTGCATGCGGATTGAATGTGGCAGCGGGATGGGTCGGTAAAAAAACGGCAACTGAATTCCACCTCCTCTCGGCATTACCCTGACAGGACTGCTTCAGTGTTGCCTGCCCAGGGGAACGCATTACTCTGCCATTACACTGTTTGCATCCACATTGATTTTCCTCCCCATCACCATCCACTTTGAGGCAATGTAAATAACGCCTGACGCTCACCAACTGCCAGATGCTCATTCTCCTGCTTGCTTCTAAGTGGAACTCACAGCTATTTGACTTGTAATGTTTTTTGGCATGCAATTGTTTTGCAAAGCACCATAATACATTTTCATCTACCAGCAGTGCTCCCTTGAGATGTTGAAAGCAAGTCCCGCAGCACCTTAGATACTGTAAATAGAGAGTATAAAGTGCCGGAATCTGGAGTTGAAAGCACTCTGAATATTGGCTGTACTCCTTTGGTTCAACAAAAAAACGTCTTTCACTTGAAAAAAATTGCTGCATCACAGCTCAGTAATCCCACCATTTTACACAAAGTGTTTCCAAACAAAACTTGTGTCTTCGCTAACTTTTGCAAACTCCCATGAGGGTTTTCTTGTCTTCTTTTTTTTTTTCCATGCATCCATCGCTGACAACACAAAGCTCCCTGGGTAAATGCAACTTATTCCTTCCTGTTTGGAGATCTGAGAGCCCAATGAGTTTTGATCCCTGTAGGTAGCCTCCCATCCTTTCTCCTCTCTCTTTTAACCCTTATACCCCGTGGAATTGAGACACTGACATTTCATGAAACATATAGATTATCCCTGCAGTGTTGATATGTGTCAACTTGTCCCAGCTCGAGGAGGGAGCATGTCCATGTGTGTGTGTGAGAGAGTGTAACAGAAAGAGATAAAGAGTTGTTGGAGCGGAGTACAGAACACTGGATATATATTGATTGGCTGTTAGGTTGACTCACCTGAGAGTGAGTGAACAGCTTTTTAAGACCAGGGGCTGTTTTCTCTGGCTTCCGAGGGGAGTTACAGCAATATGAGTATGTTTCATTTTTGTGGAGATAAATGCCTCAACTTTTGTTTTTGTGTTTTCAAAGAGATTGGTAAAGTTTTTTTCATGCTGGCCTCATGAGATTTTGAGTTTGGGTTTACTGCAGCTCAAATTCAGTCAGAATTTACCTTACATGATCCATTTCTAGGTTTGTGTGCAGGTGTACGTATTCATACAGCCATGACAGTGTGTATATTTACACCTGTGTGTAAATGTGTTTGTGCGCTTGCCAGCTGCTGTGGGGGTGACACTCGTCCCATACTCTCTCCCAGCGGGACTCTGCAGCAAGCTATTGGCCGCCAGTCATGTGCTTTCCTTTAAAGTATTTCCTGTAATAAAACAGTCAGAGTGAGTGATTGTGCAACATATCCTCTGACCATTGTTTTGCTGGCAGATGAAGAATAGGTGTTTGCCCACCTGTGATCCTCTGCGGGTCCCCTGCTTGGAAACATAATTTAGTGTATGTTCAGGCACTAAGGCAGTTATTTTCGGCGTATGAATACACAGTATTGGCAGCGTATGCAGGGGCACTTTGCATCGATGTGTTTTTAAATGGATACTGTGTGATAGTCGAGTGGGCGTATATTCTCGGTCTGAATGTTGAATACGTTTTTTTTTCTATCCATTTCTTCTGCTGTGGCCTGTTTCTCACAACACAGTCTGGTAGGAAGCGTTTAGCTTTGGAGCTTTACCGGTAATTCACTGCAACATCACTAGTCTGGTCACGTCTAGGAGGGGCTGACGCTGTGCGATTCTCTCCTTCTCGCTGTCTTTCTCTATCTCTCTGAGTCAGTCTCTCTCTCTGTCTCTCTCTCTTTCTCTGTCTCTCTCTCTCCTCCTCTCCCCCCCTCCCTCCCCCTGCTCTGTGGGTTTCTAAAAATCATCTCAGTGCATAGTTTGGGCTGATTGTCTAATGAAAGTCTATAGTCTTTCATTATACATTCTGTAGCCATTTACTATAAGTGGTGCTCTCATCATAAAACCCACATACAAATCATCCAAAAACAGAAGTAAACCATGGAGAATGAATAGTGTTTGCATTAAGTTCAGTAAAGTTTTCCAGATTC